AAAAAAAAAATTCTTGTATCTATGTATTATTTTTATATATGTATGTATTTTGATCATTAGATTTTATTATCAAGTTATATAGAAACTTGTCCTGCATTGGACGAATCTTATTTATTTTTTTTTTTTTTTTTTTACTTTTAAAATCAATCAATTCAATCAGAGCAACTTTTTATTTTTTCCTGTAATTACTTTTGCATTAGCACCTTCTTTTATTTTAGGTCAAAAGGAAGATGGAGTTTTCTTTTTCGATATGGGTAATTTAATCTAATTTCTTGTGATTATTATTATTTTTTTTTTTTTGTATAGTTTAGATCGCATCAAATTTTCGAAAATAGATTAACATAACGATATCAAATATCGATTTATCATTATTATTATTATTATTATTATTTATCATTATTTAATTATTATTTGTTTTTTTTAATGATATCGATGAAAAATAATATTGAATATTACTAAATTCGAAAAAAAAAAAAAAAAAAATGTATATTGCTCATTCTCGAAATGGACAAATCTCTTGACAAATTGAACGAATAGTAAAAAATGTGACACTAATGCAACTTTACGCAATTTACATTAATGAAATAAAAACAAAAAACATGCACATAATAAAGTCTTGATCATTTGTTATGATTTATGATGATTTACTATGTATAACAATTACGTACGTATTAACGTTAACGTAATACGTAAAATTATAAACATTATACACGTATAGAATGCATAAGTTCTAGAATTCTTTTGCGCGTGGATTATATTTTGAATGGTCGAACTGCATCTATTAATATCTGCATATTACGATATTTATTACATATATATTACATTTATTACATATATTACATTTATTATATATGTTACATCTATTACGGGGGTTGTGAATAAGCAACGTCATCGCACAGTTAAGAACCTACTGATTACGAAATAAGAATTATTTGTGATTATCAATAATAATAATAATAATAATAATATTTGTGTTGGAAATTATTTGTGTTGTGTGCTGTTTTATGAACCATTCAAATTCGGTCTCATGAACCATTCTTTATCGTCTTACGAACCATTTTAATGTTGCCTTACTAATTATCCTAAAGAGGAGGTGGGAATAAATTTAAGAATCAAAAAGATCTACGCTAGTAATTACACATAAAAATTCTTATCAAAACAATTTTCTTTTATGTCGATCCAGTCTCGATTCATCTCTTTTCAACCCCTAATCTGCTTCATACTTTAGTTTGTAAATCAATAAACCAAACTAATTTAATGTTGTCAATAATCTTGATAGAGTAAATGATCATTGATTTAGTACGTACGTATGTACATACATACTATACGCATAGACATGTTATGTTATAACAGATAATTTACTCTGCATTTACGCGACACCTTTAAAATGATAATTATTAAGGAAACGATCATTTTTTAATTTGTTTACGTGAAATAGATTTTCAATGCGAGTTAAATTCCTAAATTTACTTTTTTTTTTTTTTATTATTACAAAAGATTTATTTTTAGGAATTACTTTATATATAAATAGAGATGAGCATAATACGTAATCAAAGATAACACGACTTTAAATGTTTTTTTTTTTATGCAAAATAATAAAGTAAAAATCCATTTCAAGAAAAAATTTTCTCTTTCTGATTACCGAATTTAGAGATTCCATACATGCATATTAACAATCATTCTTTATATCTCATTTACCGTTATTATATAAATTAATAATTATATCAATAAATAATCATATGTTTCAATAATCATATCTATTAAATCTGGTTTTTTTTTTTAAAAAAAAATTCCAAACTAGAATTTAAAGTTGCCCCTAATGAATTTAACGTTTCATATAATTTTATAAAATTAAATCATGATCATATACAATTCTGGTAAAAGATATATAGATATATATGTTATAGATATATGTGTTATTTTTATCATTTACTAAATGACTTTTAACCGATTCATCAGCTTATCAGGTTTATCAATCAATGGATTATTAAAATGGTACTTATATCTCTGTATATATAGATAACCATAGTATGTATCGGTATGTATAAAGTTCCTAAATATATCTTTACATATTTTTACATTATATATATTTTGTTATATTCTACATATTAAATTTGAAATAAAATAGATATATAAAGAAGATAAATAAGGCAATTTCGCAATATGACGTACTGCATACATTAAAATTTGTGACACGTACTTTGTATTTTGTTCAATACCCCCGTTTGTATGTATAATAACTACGTACGTACGTATAATACTGTAATCAGGACAACAAAGCTTCATAACCTCTTAAATAAAAGTAATAAAAGTGATCAAAGTTTAATCTTTGTTGCAGAAATACAATGAATATAATTGAATCATATGATACGTACGTACATAAACTTACCATTAATTTATATAACTTAAGGTTAAATTTCTTTATTAATAAAAAAAATTTTTTTTTTTTGTTAAAATATAAATAAATTTGAATTAATAATTCAGCGTAATATTTGTGGTGCTACAAATTATATGTACTATATATACAATTGTACGTACGTACGTACTACATACAAGAATTATAGATCAATTTTTCTCTGTTCATAACATTATTAACCGCTGACCGATACAACACGTAAGACGTGTTATCATTAGGGGGGTCTGATTGGCTAATTTATAATATTGCTATCGAATTTGAAATTCAATAATACATTCGGTTCTATTTTTACTATTATTATTTTATTACTACGTAGTAATAAAAATAGTAGAGTTTTTAGTATATTTTATTAATGTAAATAATAGAATAGCGTACTAGATAAATATAATATTAATTCGAATGATAGCCAACTTTCCTATGTCTGCTAGTACTGTTTATAGTACCCAAAGTTTTATTTAAAACTTTTTTTTTAACCTGATGGTATATCCGAGATCAGATCATTGCTTGGTAAATAGGCATACCGAATCCGGGTAATATGTACAAAGATCAGATCGTTTAGTAGAATCCGGGTAATAGGTACAAAGATCAGATCGCTTAGTAAATAGATATGAATATAGTTGTTAGAAAAATATAATATGAAATAAAGACAAATTATTGTTTCGCTATTATGCATACTAACTCGACATGTGACACAAGTATCATGTCAATACGTATAACAGATTAATTGATTTGATTGGTTAATGATCAATCTTAAATCACCCAATCATATGATCTGGTCATCTGATCACATCTAATCTGAAGTGTTCTAATACTAATGTTTTGCACTATAATCAAATGTCATTTAGTTAAACAATCAGTTAAATAATTGGTTAAATAATTAGTTAAAACTGCTATATGGTTAAACAGTTAGTTAAACAATTAGCTTTAAACTAAATTTACAGGTGACCAACACTTTGGACAAACGTATCAAACCTAATTAACTAATCATTAAACATATACATTATTCTTTAATTGTAATATTCACTACAGATGAAACAACCTTATGTAATTAAATTTTAAACATTAATAATGTCTAGAGTTTGATTAATGTGCATTACAACTTATGTTAACTATTACAGTACGTACATATTATGTAGCATATAATCATGAAATATGCTAATATTTGTTACTTTCAAATATGTCGCGTGTCATGTCGGAGAATACTTGGTTATTATGTGATAACCCACGAAAGTTTCGAAAAGATTTCGAAAAGATTACGAAAAAATTACGAAAAAGATTAATTTGTATTACAAATATGCAAGTCAAAATCAAGATTATGCGATAAATGCATAAGTGCTGAAAATACGTATTTATACTGACAAATGAAATTGCTAAAACTCAAAATTCTTTGAAACATTTCTTTGTTTATCTACTGTCCTAATAATAACGTACAATCATTAATCTACTGATTTATCAGATATTGATATTATTTCCTAATCATTCCTAACCATAAATGTAAAAGTACAAAAAAAAAAAGTTCAATGTAAAATGAATAGTTTCGGTTATAATGCATGAATATTTCGACAATGTCAAATTATCACTTATTGTTGAACTTTTAAAGCGATCAAAGCGCGAAGGTTTTACTTTTTATAAGGTATATTCGGTCATTATTCACCAATTATCCGTCAATTATCCGTCAATCATCCGTCAATCATCCATCAATTGTCTGTCAATTGTCGGACAATTGTCGGACAATTATCTTTGATTTTAATGCTAAATAGATTGAAAATCATACATGTCAAGTTCTTATCGCATAAACGTAATGCCACACATTTATTAACTAAAACTTCGTTCTAATTATTGTATCATATAGAAGGAAAATTTGAATTCATTTTGAATTGGTTCATTTTCATTTATTCATTTAATTCATTTATTTATTCATTTAATTCATTTATTTATTTATTCATTCAATTCATTTATTTATTCATTCAATTCATTTACAAATTTCATTTAGTACGCACACATTATTCACCACACATTATCTAGATCTGCTCATGATTACGTCATCATAGATTCTTTGAATGCTATATTTGATTACTAGTTCATCCCTCAAGACTTGTAGTCTTTTATGATAAACAATACTTTTGTTTGTTCTATCGATGGCCAGGTTAAAACTGACCAATGCCGACCTTCTCTAATGCAAAAGCAGTTAAACTCTCATTACGTGATTGATCTAAGGTTTCATGACTAAACGATTCAAATAGAAACATAAGAAACATACCTGAAAAAAAAAATAAAATAATAAAAACTTAATGATTTTTTTTGCTTGATTTTTCCTTTTAAACTGGTTTATTCAGTTATGTCCTCTTTATCAGGATGTTGATGCTGGCTCTGATCGTTCGTTCTTTCTCTTTTCACTTTTTAGAAAAATGTTGATGAAAATATTTTCCACCTTGTATATAAAATATAAATGTATAGATTATTGATTTTTTTTCATTTTATTCATTGAAATTATTATAAAAGTTACACTCTCTGTCAACTCTTCTTTTTTTTTTTTTTTTTATTCTACTACTCCGAAATTTCATAAATTTCGGAACTTTGTGAAATGCAAAAAAATCACATATTCCTTCGAATTTTACCTTTTTTCATTCTTTTTACATTCTCAAATTCGATATTTGTTGAAAGCAATGATTTTCCCGATATTTCGGGTAACGATAACGATAAAAATGCATTAAGTGAATATCATAAATTTTATCCTAATACCGATCCAAATGATAACGATGGAAAACTACTACATTATATATGTAAGTAATTAATATTATAATATTATATATTATAATATTATAATATTATGATACTGTAATATTATAATACTATAATATTGAAATACTGGTGATCTTTTTTGATGTTCGTAGATGTGATCTGATTTTTATCATATCGTTTTTTTTTTTTTTTGTAGCTCTTGGTTTATCTCAAGTAAGTACTTTTAGATGTCAAACTTTAAAAATACTGCATGTTACCTTAAACCACACATAAGTTCACGCATTCATTATTCGATTTAAAATCCATTCATTGTCGTACAAAAAAGGCTAGTCTATTAGGAAACCTTTTCGTGATATTCCAAACTTGTCAAAGAATTAATCAAAATGTCAATCTGTCGATGGGAATTCGATTGCCAATGTACATAGCGATTAATAATTCTTTATCATGCTTGTCTTACTTTGCAAATATTGTTGGCGCTTTGATTATTGGTGTTCCTTGGACTGGTCAAGCTTGTATCATTTATGGTTTCTTTGATGTATTTATGGTTTCAATGAGGTAATTATATCCTACTTTTCCTCATTTATTTAAGTCCTTGATATCTATAATAATAATAATAATTATAACCAATAATAATATACTAATTTTGGTATATCTTTAAATGAATGTATGTAGTATCACCCTAATAGCCTTGGTAACAATTCGAACTTATTTAAAAGTTATAAAAAATTTTTATCTTGATACTGGAAAATATGATTATAGGTATAGATATGTAATTTGTGTAATTTTCAATTATTCATACGTACGTATTTATTCTTAAAAATATTACGTATAAATTCTTATACAATTGTATAACAATAGATTATTCTTGGTCATGATCATAAATGCATTAATTTTCGCATGCATTGGATTACCATCGTATGGTCCATCAAAATATTGGTACGTACATACATACTCATACTGCTAATAATAATGCTAATACATACTTATGTATTTGTATATTAATCGTTAAATACGTAATTATACGTTTATTAGGTGTTGGAGTTCTCCAGGCCAATGGTCACTTGCAATTTCAATTTCTAGTTTAATATCTATAACTGCTTTGTTATGCATAGTTTGTCACTCTCATATAATCTATACTATTGTAACAATTCGAAGACCTGATGGAAATGTTGGAATTAATGATATACAGCAAAAAACTGCCACACGAAAGATTTTGGCTTATACATTCAATTACCTAATTCAATGGGTATTACATCTAAGTTTTTTTTTTTTTTTAAAAAAAAAAAAAGGGTTAAATTAATTATCATCATCATTATTTTTATTATTATTTTTATTATTATTATTATTATTATAAATAATTCTAGACATTGTGATCTACAATGTTCGTTTGTCACGCAACATAATCGGCCAATAAAATTAAGCCTATATATGTTTTATTGATTGATTGCTTCGGGCACCTATCAGTTTTTGATTACCTAGTTATCATTTACAAATTCAATGTTAATTATCATTTCAAGGGGTTAATTATTTCTATATATATATATTTCTTTCTTTTTTAGACGCCAACGTTACCATTCATCATAGGAGTAGCCAGCGGAAATGATCCTTTATGGGTTTATTATCTTTGTGTACTATCGATTAATATTGGTGGTATAGCAAATGCTATTCAATACATTTGTCATGAAGGATTTTTATCAAAATTAAGAACTTTGTCACACCAAGTTTCAAACTCAATTTCTAACTCTAATACGTCGGAACAACTTTCGGAAACAAGTTATAATACAAATAATTCTGAATTACCTGTTTTGAAAAAGGAATTAAGTTGTTGTGCTATTAAATGTTTTAGTATTTTATTGAATTATAGAACTAGAACTGATGTTAAATTGAATGATATAAATGAAATTATTGATATTGAATTGGGTGAATTAAGAAATTCCTCCGTAAATAATATTCCTAATTAGGTAAATATGAAATTTATATTTTCTGTTTATTTTTCTTAGGGCAGGGACAATTTAAATAATAATAATAATAATATCCTTCTTTTTTTTTTAGTGTTCATAAAATGCGCATAAAATATATATATATATTATTGTAAATATATTCGGTTGGTTTTTTTTAAAAATAATTTTAATATATCAATATTGTAATTATTATGATTATTTATATTTAATTTCTTTTCATGTTTGATTGTTTGATGTTAAAACTTGAATGTCTCTAATTACGAATGTCAACCTTACTAAAATCTCTTATTCTAATGAAATGCTCCTCGAAAAATTGAAACTTCATATGTATTAAAAGTTTCAGCATCAGCAGTATCAAGTATGTAAATTGTCTTGCACAAATCTAAGATTGTATATTTCATAGAATGTCATAACGTTTAAAAAAACTTTAAAATTGTGAAATTAAGGAAATACATTTATTGAATGTACATATGGGTCAGTACACAGCAAAAAGGGGCTTCGAGACGGATTTTTAATTTGTATATATCAGTGTTTGATCATTTTTATGCAATATTCGGTATTGTTGTAAAATTAGAAATTTATGTACAACATTTAAATCATATATTGTAAGTTTATAATAATTCCCGAAGTTCGGATTACATCTAATGGGTACGTGCTATGCTAAGTTTAACTGCTAAAAGCGAATTCTTCTTCAGAACTTGCAATTTTAAATATTAGTAGTTTATAGTTTCAATGGTTTAATAATGTATGTAGTTTAAGCTTTCGAGTGTCTAAAGTTTTTAAAATCGAAATGTTTGAACAAATAAAGTTTAATTTCTAAGATCAAGATTCTAAATCGCTTTATTATATTGATATTATCGAAATGTTACTAAAGCTTTTGTAGCTTTCAATAATAATTGCGAGCCTATAATGTTTGTAATATAAATATTGAATTTTTTAATTAATGTTTTTACTTCATATAATGGCAACTATCGAAAACAAAAATTCTTGTAGCAAAGATGAAAATTTTTATGATCTAGAAACATATGAGAATATATTAAATCGAGAACAAGACAATATATCATTATATGATGTTGCGCCTTCTTTTTCTGAATTAGAATTAGAAGAGTTTGATGAAACAGATGACATAATTTGTCAAAACGTTCAGGAATTATGGGAATTTTGGCAAACCAAAAAATGCACTTGCAGAAAAAAAAAAAAAGAAAATAGCACTTGTTTTGAAAGAATAGGATTTAAAAAATTTTTTACAAGACAGGAAGAATGCCGTAATATGTTACATGATGATTTAGATGTTTGGATTAAAGGACAGCTTGCATCATTTGCATATAGTGAACTACCAAAACAAAAAAAAAAAATTCAAGATCCAAATAATATTATAACTCGTGATCGGTTTAATTATCAATATCGTTATGATGCTCAACATATTGTGTGTTTATCAACTTATCTAAAGTTAATTGGAATTTCTTCATCTAGACTTGATAGAATTAAAACACATATCAAAGATTACGGAATGGCAAAACCTATTCATGGCAATATGGGACGTCCTTCAATTCGATCAGATCATGCTATTATTAATGAACAAGTAAAACAAGAGCTTAATAATTATATTCGAAACTATGCTACTTTTTATGGGCTTCCTTTACCAATTCGCCATCTACGAAATGATGCAATGTCAATTATTTTACTTCCAATAAATACAACATATAATAGTATTTATGAAGAATATATTTCTACGATCAAATCTATTAAGGGTGAAAATTATAAAATTATGGCTTATACTACATTTCTTAAAATATGGAAAGAAGTTGCATCTGATATTCGATTTATGACAAAAGCATCTGATTTGTGTGATACATGTGAGCAGCTTCGTGCCAAAATTAAATATGCAAATGATATCGAAAATAAAAAAAAATTTCAGATCGAATATGATCTTCATCGAGCAGCTGCAGCAATTGAACGTCAACATTATAATGAAAATATTAATATTAGTAAACAACCAAGTTATAGTACTATGCATATATGTTACGATTGGGCTCAAAATGTAACAATTCCTTATTTACCACGACAACCTGGAGGTTTGTTTTTTAAATCTCCATTCAATGTTCACGTTTTTGGAGTTACAAATACTAGTTTAACACCTATGACTCAAAGGAATTATCTTATTGGCGAACATCAATTACCAACCAAAACACCTAAAGGTGCTAATACTACATTGAGTCTTGTATATAATAGTTTACTTTATTGGAATTTACCTCAAAAACATTTAAAAGTTACATGCGATAATTGCAGTGGTCAAAATAAGAATAATCTTGCTCTTTGGTTTTATTCTTGGTTAACTATAATTAGACGTTTTGATACAATTGAGCTTAACTTTATGGTACCAGATCATACCAAGTTCATCTGTGATTCTTATTTCGGAGCAATTAAATCTCGATATCGTAAATGTAATATTATGAGTTTAGATCATGTCGAAGCTGCTGTTAACGAATCAAAAAAAGATGGAAGCAATATAGCAGTTAGATATGATAAATCAGGATGGAATTATTATGATTTTGAAAAATTTTTAGAACCTTACTTTATTAAATGTAATGGTATACGTCAATTTCGGCATTTTTATTTTTATCATGATCAACCTGATAAGATTTATATGACTTTAGAATCCAATGGTCCAAAAATAGAGGCAGTGATTCGCAATAGTGTTTATTTCGACCCATATCAATCTTTAAGCATTATTCCTATAAAACCTTTATCTTTGAAACGTCAGATACAATTGTTTAAAGATATTAGGCCATATGTACATGACCCTTATAAGGATGAACTATGTTTTGCACCAAATAAGTGTGAAGAAAATTTATTACATAAAAGTCTAAACGAAAGTATGGACGAAAGTATGGATATATAGATATATATAAATTATACAAAAAACTTTATTGCAATAACTTTTTTTTAAACTCAAAAACATTATTATAACAACTCAGGTTTAATGAATGGGCAGGTGGGTGGGCGAAGTAGTTATATGAGCTAAAGTTAAATAAGTACTAAAATAAAGTAAAAATTTTTATTAAATTTACTGACCTTAATAATATATACAAAGACACAACATAATAGATATTGATGAACATTCACAGATATGAATGTAAGCGAACATAAATATTAACAAGCAAAAAAAACCCACGAACCACGAACATAGTATGTAGATTAATATTTGTAGACGTTGATATGTATGTACTACATATCGGTACATATTACCCTTCTTTTTTAGATTAACAATAAGAATTCTAACTGCTGTTCTAAATATAAAATAAAAATGTCATCTTGATAAAAATGCTGCGTACAAGATTATACAAAATTTTATTATACTAATTCGTGCCAAAAAATTTACTGTGAATAAATCACATTTTTATAAATATGATCTGATAAAAATCTCAATTTTGATCAAAAAGTCTCTAAACCCCGTTTTGCTGTGTACTGACCCATATAGATATTGAAAACTATGCAACGTACCCCTACATTATACATATTGAAATAACATAAAGAATGCATCTAATTTTAATTATAAAAAAAAAATACCCCTACATTATACATATTGAAATAACGCATCTAATTTTAATTATAAAAAAAAAAACCATTACCTATTTTATACATATGTCAAGTGAATTTTTAATTTTATTACTTATTATACCGTATTTGAGATTGCCATTATACAGCTGCTCAAAATATATCCAGATATACTGGGGTAGTGAAGTAATCCGACATTCGGGACCCTCCAAAGCAAAAGGAGATGAGCAAAAATTTTTTTTTTTTTTTTAAAAAAAAAAAATCAATATCTTGAAAAAGTGCTGTGACATAATTTATACTAATGAAACTATATTCGCTCATTCATTAACATTAAGTACATTAAGTTAAAAATATTTCGTGACCAATTTTACCTAATTTACTTTTTTGGATTCAAGATTGATTTTCGGCAAAATTAGAATTTCGAAGTTAATATAGGCCAACTGCCTAAATTACATCTCAGAACTTTTAGAATAATTCTTTCGAGTTTTCAGATTTCAGAATTTAAAATGTTAACAATAAACTTTGTGATTTATTGCTGTACGCATGAATCGTGCACGTGTATTACTCGTCAAAACAAGTGGATGCCAATTCTAATTAGGATGCTAAAAGTCGGTAAATTTGCTTGTAAAATGTGAATACTATCTTTAAAAAAAAATAATGTAATTAAGTACACATGAATTTTGTATAGAAAACTAATTTATATATAATTATCTTAAACACACGTTTAATTTTATTTACTACCTAATCAAGAGACACTAGACATATGGGGGTGAGTCAGTAGAAACGTACCATACAATTTTTAATTAAATTTTTTTAAAACTTTAAACAAATATAACTCAACAACTTTATCAAATTTAATAAAAATTTTTTTAAAACAATTCTAAAAACTTATAGAATTCATTTAAAAAAAAAATTTTTTTTATTAAATTTGATTATGTATTTGCTAAGTTATTTTTGGTTAAAGGTTCAAAAAAATTTAATTAAAAATTATATGGTGCGTTTCTACTGACTCACCCCATATGCGATCGCATAATAGCTCATAGCGATCGCATAGTAGGCACATAAAATGCGATTAATTTTTATCAAATTCACATAATTTATGCGACATTTGTGCGGGCATCTTTAAGCGAATAATAAGAGCATATGTAATATAATTGTCGTAATCATCACAATTACATAGTTATCATAATTGCTATATTATAATTATTAAATCAGTTTTAATGTTAAAATTTTTACTATTCCAATTTTAATGATAAAAAAAAAACTGTTTTAGACCATGTTAACTCCAGTAATTATAAAGATGATTTCTATGAATCAAACAATAAAATGTTTTATATTGCTTGTAAACATGTTATTAGTTATGCTAAAAAATCTACAATCAATAATCATCTTAATTCTGTATTATATAAAAAAAACATAAAGTTATCTTCAAATTAGTCAAATACAGTTAGACCTCTATATAGTCACCTTCTCTATAGTCACATTTGCTTATAATCACATAAAAATTAAAACTAACTTATATAATATTTATAAAATTTAATCTTCATATAGACACAAACTCTATTAAATTTTTAAAACCAAGAATGTGATTATAAAAAGATTTGACTATATAGAAGAAAAACAAAATATTAATTTGATATTAGTTAAAGTATTTGTGAAAATTAATATTTTATTTAAAAAAATAAATAAATTGTAAAAGGTTAATACAATTTTTATAATTAGTAATTATTTGTCTAATCTTTGTTAGCAACTTTCTTTCTGTTCATTTCTTAATATTTATTTTTTTTTATGTTTCTCTCCTATATACATTTTTTAATGCATTTTTCTCTTAACTAGAAGTTTTTTTATCTTCTTATGAATGAATAGTAACAGATTGGTATTGTTCAATTATAGGATAGTAGACATATAAGTTCAACTTAGACTTTAGCAGGTCAGATGTGACAGGTTACTTGTAGGTGTTAATTGAAGTAATTATGTGATGATAGTACAAGAAATTAGAAATAGTTATATTTATATATTGTTTATACTAAATATTTATAAATAAACTTCTGAATAGTTAACTATTATAGTTACCAAAGATAAAAAAATAAAATAAAATAAATAAATAAATTGTAAATATTATTTTTTTTAAAGAAGTATAGTGACTTAGTAAAGTAATCAAATTATCAACTCTTTAAGTAATAGATTGGATATTCAAATTCTATTAATGATAAATATTTAAAAAATTATCTATATAATATTTATATTATAATAACTGTTACTAATGATTGGATTAGAATATCTTTAATAATGGTTGCACTAGCATGACTGGCAGATTATAGAATATTTATGTAACTAATTATATAGAGAAATACAAACTGACAAATTAGACAGTGCAAACATTAAATAAGTTCTTATGACTATATAAATTTATTGAAATTAGATAACAAGAAGTTTATTTGAAAAGATCCAAATAAAGAAGTAGTTAGATTTTTAACAGTCTTACTATATAGACTAGTCTAAGAAAATAGATACCAAGATTATAGTATTTAGTTATAGTAACTAAACAGGTAAGAATCTCTAAGTTGTGAATATCAGAGATACTATCAACCAGGCCATCAGAATGAACCAAAAGAAAGAATATTAGGCTGATCTGATATATTAATGAATTAGTCATAATTACATATAGTCTATCTAAATTGGAAGTATAGTAAAAAGGCAGATGAAAGGCAAAGGTATATTAAAATACTAAGCTTATGCTATGAAATAGATATTGGAGTTTGTGTGAACTCTACAAAGACATAACAATTAAAGATATAAATAACTCTGATTACAAATATTAGTTTTGCTATAGTAATATCTAGATCAACTATAAAAATAGGTACAGAAAACTCTAAAAGGTTTACTTCAAGAATTAAATAGTTCTAGATTTAAGATAATGATCTGAGCATTAGGTATAATCTAGTAATATTAATACAGATTACAGGTTTAAAAAGTTTAAAGTAGAATATCTAAGCAAGAATATTAGATATAATAATTAGTAAAGAACTTTCGAGCAGATTTCTTAAATAGGTAATATAAAAAAGTTACACATATAGCCAATTGTATGCTTTTTTGGAATAGTTTATAGAATCATATTATTAAAAAATCATTAATAAAAAGTTAAAAGATCAAAGAGGTTATCTTAACACCAAAAAAAAAAAAAATTTTTTTAAAGAATATTGTTTTAAAAGTAAATTAATTAAAATTTTTTTTAATATTAATATAAAATTTTGTTTATATCTTTATTAATAGTTTATTAGATTAGTAACTATATTAAGTTACTAAATACAAATAAGAATTCTATATAAATGTTATAATTAAGATTAATATTTACAGTTAAAGCTAACTATTAAACTGCTAATTGTATATAATTAATTCTAAATATAAAAATAAAAAAACTATATTTAAAAATAAAAATTCAAACATATTTATCTACAATTTCAATTTATTAAAGTAGTTAAGACTTATTTATATTTAAATAGTTAAAATATAATTAAAGAAAATATTATATTTAATTTATAAAATAGTTTATATATTAATTTTTTTTTAAATATTAATAATGAGACCATGCCTTCACCTTTATTAAATATTTAATTGAAATTTTATATAAAGTACAATTTTGCTTTTAAAATATTATAGAAAGAACAAAAGCTCAGACTAATTTATCTGTGACCTAAACCAACTGGAGTAGTCAAGGCTTATCTAGATTTAAGTATTAGTAATTATGTGTAAGAGATTAGTTTGATATTTAATTTATTGGATATATCAAAAGTTTATTTTTAAACTAATAGAATTAAGTGAAAGAAAGTGTGATGAAAGTAAGATAGTATTTGAAGGTGTGTTATATTCAGGAAGTTGGGTTGTAAATCTTAAGATACAATATAGAATTCAGATTTTGTAATAGATTTGTTGATTAAAATGAAGTAAAAACTTGATTACAAGTGTTGTAACTATTCTTTTGGATAACAAAATTGCAATAATGTCAATAAGTTTATTTGGTATTAAACCTGTTAGAGTTGAAAAGATTAAAGGTAAATCTAATATATTGTAAATAGTCATATTATTCAACAGTTTGATTTGGTTGTACAGATTGGTTATAGTATTTAATATAGTATCAAGTGTTTTAGTGTTTAAAGTATATTGTAATGAAATATCAATAAGACTATATAACAGTTGATTAAATAAGCAAGTTGTCCAATAAAGGTAAAAACTGATTTGGTAATAATAATAACAGATAGGTGAGTATAAGTGATATCATTTGTGTAGAATATGTAAAGTAAAAAGATTGTTTAGTAGAATTTTAATTCTAAAGGATTTAAGAGTAAAGAACTAAAAGCTGTATAAGAAGTTTAAGATTTTTAATTGTTGTTGATATATAGCTAGGTAGCTTGTTAATTAACTTAGTTAAGAATTTTGTACTATTTTTAAAAATGGTTTTGTGTAATC